TACTATGACCACAAAGCTTTGAGCCAACCAACAACAAATACTAACCCATGCCAATATTATATATATATATATATATATATATATATATATATATATATATATATATATATATATATATATATATATATATATATATATATATATATATATATATATATATATATATATATATATATATATATATATATATATATATATATATATATATATATATATATATATATATATATATATATATATATATATATATAAATTCATTTCAATTTTATAAATGTAGTTGGTAGTAATTGTGTATATGTTCAAAAATTTATTTAGAATGAATTATAAGTATTTATTAATATTATTTAGATATATTATGTTAAGACGTCTCAATTGATAGTTATACAAAAATATTAGTTTGAATTAAAATAATATATTATTAATTAGATCAAATATAAGCACTCTATGTTAATAATTATTTAATGAAAATATTTTTGAAATTATTTTTTAAATTTGTGTATTTTAAATGATTTAATTTCTTAGTTTTTAAGATATATTTAAGAAAGGTAAAATATTCATTTTAGTACCTTAATTATAGGTCATGGTTCACTTTGGTCCCTTATTTTTTTTTTATCAAAATGGTTCCTTAAATTTCAAAACGCAACCACGTTAGTCCTTCCGTTAGTGAAATGTTAGTGAAATATAAAAAGCAGACTCCAGGTGGCAGTTGTCATGCTTAAGTGGCTTGTTGGAGGCAACGTGGCAGAGAATAAGGACAGAAAATCTCCCAAAGCTGAAGATAGGAAATGCATGTTCTGTTAGCCAAAAATGAAAGCCAAAGGAAAGAGGAAGAGACTTGCGAAGAGGCTTGTGAAGCTTGAGAAGGTGACTCCGTAGGTGATTGCTTTTCAAGTATGTTATTCTTGTTTTGTCTTCGTAACTGGATATTTGATGTGGGATTCTGAATATTTGTTATGGGATTTCTGGGATTTAGGTATAATGGATGAATTTCTGAAACTCGTAATCCACCACAGTGGTGAGTTCGTTAATCCAGAGCTTAGTGTCTATGAAGGAGGTATGGTATCTGAATTGTCAGTAGATGTTGATAGGTGGAGTTACTTTGAGTTAGTTAGTCTATTGAAAGACTTAGGTTATACGGACAATATAGAGAAAATGTATTACAAAGACCCACAATTTAGGATGAATGAACTAGTTGATGACAAAGGTGCCCTAGAAATTGCAGACTTATACAGGGTGCACCATGTTGTTAATGTTTACATTCAACACAGTTTGTCTCAACCTGAGTATTTTGATGGTCCTGTTGAGGAGCCTGAGAGCATTGTAGATGAGATGGAGGAGTTGCTTAGCAAGCTGTATGATGACATTGATGAAAAACTAAAGGAGACTGTTGTTGGTGTGGATGAAGTTAATGATGAATTGAATGATCCAAGTGTTGTTGTGGAACAAAGTAATGCTGGATTGAATGATGCAAATGTAGGGGTGGAAGCAATAAATGTTGAAGTAGATCCTGTTGAAGTGGAGCAAAATAATGATGTTGATGATCAGGTGCACGGTGAATCCAATTCTGATGACAGTGAGGATGAGAGTTATCAGTATGATAGTGCCCTAGAAGTAGCCTTTGAAGATGAATCTGATGGTTATGAGGACATTGATGAAAATGAAATTGCAGACCTGGCTTTGTATGACAGTAATGAAATATCAAAAGGAAAAGGAAAAGGAAAAGGAAAAGGAAAGTGCAGCAAAGTTACAAAGGAATATAAGGGGAATGACAATGACAGTGAGGATCTTCAAAGTGGCTGTGACAGTGATGACAGTAGTGGGGTTAAAAGGAATATATACCCAATTTTCAAAGAGATAAAAGATATGGCCAATTACAAATGGGAATTAGGAATTATTTTACTTCAAAGGATGACATTAAGGAAGCAGTTGCATCGTATGCTGTTCAAAATGGAACAGCCCTCAAGATCATAAAAAATGACAAGAAAAGGGTGAGGGTGAGATGTAAGGAAGGTTGTGAGTGGGAGGTCTATTTTTACAAGTTATTAAATGAGGAAATCTAGCAAATAAGGAAAGTAATTGATATTCATAACTGCAACGTGGAGTATAATGTGAGGATGTTAAGTACAAAGTGGTTGAGCAAGAGGATTCAGAATGTATTGAAAAACAATCCTAGGTTGAAGATCCGGGATATTAAAGAAAATGCATTGAGGAAGTGGAATGTAGGTGTAAAGAAGACTAAAGCAATAAGAGCAAGAGTGGCTGCAAGGAATTGGGTTGATGGTTCCTTTTTGGGTGATTACACTAGGATATATGACTATTGTCATGAACTGCTAAGAGCCAATCCAGGGTCAACAGTTAAGATGAATATTGAACCTGCTCTAGAAGGTGCTGATGATCAGAGGCCCTTTTTTAAAAGGCTTTACATATGCTATGAAGGATGCAAGGAAAGTTTCAAATTATGTAGGCATGTGATTGGATTGAATGCTTGCTTTTTGAAGGGTTTTGTGGAGGTGAAATTCTGGCAGCTATAGGAAGGGATCCTAATGATCAGATGCTTCTCATAGCACTTGCAGTTGTTGAAGGTGAAAACAAAGATAGTTGGATATGGTTTTTGAAGCTACTGATTTATGATCTAGTGGGTGGACATGAATTCTCTCATACACTTTCATTTCATACCAACAGAAAGTACACTAAATAATTCACAGCATCTTTACATTTATCTGATTGTTTTCTTGATAATTTACTATTAGTTATGAATCTATTTTACAGGGACTTTTACCTGCAATGGAAGAGTTGTTGTCCAATGTTGAACATCTATTTTGTGTTAGGCATCTGTATAAAAATTTCAGGAAGAGGTATCCTGGAAAAACATTCAGGGATCTTATCTGGAAGGCTGCTAAATCTACATACTCACAAGCTTGGGAAAGAGAGATGAGGGCAATGAGAATAATACGTGGAGAGGCATATCTCCACATGATGAAGACTCCACCAAGATATTGGTCTAGATCATATTTTAGGACTACCAATAAGTGTGATGTTGTTCTCAACAATATGCCAGAGGCATTTAATAGTGTTATTGTTGAAGCTAGGGATAAACCACTAGTAACAACGCTAGAGGAGATCAGAACTTACATGATAGAGAGATGGGTAAAAAACAGAATGAGATTCCAAGACATATCTGGTAATGATATTTTGCCCAATATTAGAAAGAAGATGGACATAACAAGTGCCTACACAAACTTATGGCTTGTCGGGTATGGTCTGTTAAATTTTAATTGCAGACTGTTAATTGTTAATTGCAGACTGTTAAATATTATTGTTAATGTTAAATTCAAAATGTCAGATGAGCATATATTTGAAGTAAGGCATGTGGAAAACTCAGCTGAAACATTCACTGTGAACTTGAAGGATTACTTGTGCTCCTGCAGAAGGTGGGAACTCACAGGACTTCCATGTGTCCATTCCATATCAGCCACGAAGAGTAGGAATTTTAAAGTTGATAATTACATTTCAGATTATTATAGGGTATCTAGGTACAAGGCAGTATATAGGTATGTGCTTTATCCTGTGAATGGATCTAATATGTGGGCCAAAACTTAATATCCTGATGTGCAGCCACCTAAGTTTAGAAAGATGTCTGGTAGACCAAAGAAAAGGAGAAACTGTGAGCAAGGAGAGATTGATGGCACTAATAGAAAATTGAGAAGAACTGGTTTTATTGTAAAGTTTTCTAGGTGCAAGAAAACTGGACATAACAAGAAAACCTGCAAAGTCAATGCAACATAAGGCACTGCATCTCAAACCACTGCAGCTCAAGGAAATGCAAGGCAAGCCAATGCATCTCAAACCACTGTAGCTCAAGGCAATGCAACTCAAGCCAATGCATCTCAAACCCCTGCAGATCAAGGCAATTCAACTCAGGCCAATGCATCTCAAACCACTGCAGCTCAAGGCAATGCAACTCAAAACAATGCTACACAAGGCAATGCAACTCAAACCACTTCAGCTCAATTTAATGCAAGGCAATGCAACACAACTCAAGGCAGTGCAACACAAGGCAATGCAAGGCAAGCCAATGCAGCTCAAGGCAAGGCAAGGCAGCACAAGGCACTGTAAGGCAAGGCAATGCAAGTCAGATTGGGACAAAAAAAGTTTTTGTATCTCAAACCACTACAAGTCAGATTGCAGCAACACGAGCATTAGTTGCACAGGGTTACATGAATGCAACTCAGTCTTCACAAGGAAAGTTAGTACCAGGGCAAAGCACAAAGGAGAAAGCTAGAGGAACTAGAAAGCTACAAAAACTAGGTGTGATAAGGCCCTTTGTACCCCCAGGACCAACAATAAGACTCTCAGCATCCAAGAATGAAACAGGTCCTACCACCAGACAACTCCAACCAAGAGAAACACATCAAAGAGGAGCATCTAGTTATAATTTTAGGGTTTATGTATTTTGGAACATCTCTATGTAACGTGTCATTCTGTCAACCTTTTGAAACATGTCTATGTAACATGTCAGTATTTTGGAACATACTTATGTAACATGTCAACTACGTATTTTCAGTTTAACTAATCTGATGTGTTCATTTACTGATAAAATGTGCCCAAAATTATTTTGCTAAAATTAATGATATGTCAAACTGATATGCTTTGATTAATGACATGCCAAACAAAATAAGTCTTATTAAACTGATAACATGTGTTAAAATTACACATAAGCTTGCACATAAATTTTCCAAATTGAAAAAATTACATACAAATTGCTACATACTCCTGTTTCTAATACAACTTAATGACAAATACACATAACACTACAAAACACATAATCTTCAATATTTTTTTCCACTTCAACATCTTGTTGAGTTGAATTTGAAGTTCTAACACGGCATCCCCTAATTCTTCATTTCTAACCCTCAATTTCTCGTACTGATTCTTGGTTTCATCTAAATCCTTTGTTATGCTTTCCAATCTATTACTCAATACTTGGTTTATGTCTTCTGTCAATTCCACTGCCAATTCCTCGTGACACCAATGAGAGAAGTCAAATCCTCTTTGCAAGAAGCCCTGCAAATTTCACAAACTCTGTTTACGATCTTCTAACATACCTAAACCATAATTAGGGCTTACCTTGTAATTGTGACAATCCCAAAATTTCTTTCCATAATTCTTCTCAGTGGTTGCCCTACGAAGAACAACTTTGTCTCGCAATGATAAAGTGGTACAATCCGCGAGCTACTGTATACACATGACCCAACACTTTCAGATTGACAGAGGTTCTTTGGGAAAGATGAATGCTTCGTATTCATGGAGAAAGGGAAGAAGATGAAGAAGGTACAGAAAAATTTGAGAAGGAGAACGTTAACAAAATTTTGTGAAGGAGATGAAGAAATACGCTTTCTGTATATAAAGAAGATGGAAAAATTTGTCAGCTCACCTGCCACCTCACGCAAATAAACGGACGTTAGAGGCCAATTAACAGAAGGACTAACGTAATTGCATTTTAAAACTTAAGGGATCATTTTGACACAAAAAAAAAGAAGATAAGGGACCATAATGAACTATGACTTATAGTTAAGAGATCAAAATGAATATTTTACCTTTAAGAAATTAATTTTTGTGAAGGAGATGAAGAAATACGCTTTCTGTATATAAAGAAGATGGAAAAATTTGTCAGCTCACCTGCCACCTCACGCAAATAAACGGACGTTAGAGGCCAATTAACAGAAGGACTAACGTAATTGCATTTTAAAACTTAAGGGATCATTTTGACACAAAAAAAAAAAAGAAGATAAGGGACCATAATGAACTATGACTTATAGTTAAGAGATCAAAATGAATATTTTACCTTTAAGAAATTAATTTTTTTGGTTCAAATTAAACATATTAAATAAGATCAATTTTTTTAATATGTATTATATAGTTCAACATTGTTTAGATTTCATTTTAGAAGTGTTATATTCCTTCTTTCTTTTTTTTATAATTATTTATCTAGGTTATTGTGTTGATGACTTGATGTTCATTTTAATTCAATTAATTCACATTGAGATTGAAGACATTATGATTTCATAAATGAGAGTAGTAAACTCTTGGATTCTTTTTATTAAAATATTTGTTGTCATTGCTCTTATGGAAGTTAGTACTAACATGCTATCAATAGATTCCAATACCTAACCACCTCTTCACAAGTTAAATTTAAGATAAAAGAACAAAGATGCCACCACAATGTGCAACCAAAACATAAAAGTGCATTATTTATTATAATAACAAATTATTCCATTTCCTTTGAACTGATCCAAATTTGGTTATATGTTTTTTTTCTTATATAGTTTTGTATCCTTTTCCTTATACCTTTCTCTTAAATGTATAATTTTTTACTATTCTGTGACAGATAAACGACCCTTATATATTTTAAAACCACTTCATTCGTTTTCATATTAAATTTCACTAAACAAATGTGCACAATTTTCTTTAAAAACAAATTGATAAAAATTATACAAATGTAAATCTAATCTATTGTGATTAAAATCATTTCAAATAGAGCTTGGTGAAGCTAGTAATAGAAAACTCAATATTGACAGATAGGAGGATAAAAGTGGCCCCATAAAAAAGCATCTACAACCAAATTTTTGAATCAAAATTCATCAAAAAGAAAAATAGATTCTTCTATCACACCAACTATATAGGTCCCACCATCATTTTCCAACTGTCCAAAAACTAAAAGTATTATTGAGCATAAAAAAGTTTTGTATTCACACTCTCCTATAAAGTATGAGGAATAATTAAGAAAAGAGATCAAACAAAACCAAAAGCTTTATAAAGCAAATGTAATTGTCACTCACCATGATCTAGTAAACAAGTAGACATAGTGATGTTGAGTTAACATTGACATAGAAAGAGACAAGTCTTGCTTTGAAACAGTTTAGGCTCCAAACAATATCCAACCAACTACATTGGAGATCTCCATTGTAATCTTTGCTCAAAGCATGTTTGAATTTGCAATGAGATTGACAATTTGCAATGAACCACCTTAGTTTTTGACAAAAATTGACAAAAACTACTTGTGCGTTTCGAAAACTTCCAAACTTGAAAATCACGATTAGACACAGCTTCTCAAAATCACGGTAGCGGTGAAGCACCAGTAGTAAAACAAACATACACATAATCAAAAGTGAGTCACATGATTTTGGCCTAAGCTTCACAAAATCATAGTGGCCTTGTGATTTAGCCAAATTCACTTTTAATCCAAACAATCACGTACTTTGAATCGAGATTCATCATAGTGAATCAAGATTCCTCATAATCAAGTTGTGATTCAATATAAGGTTCATGTCCAAATAGATACACACACTAAAGATTCATATTGACTAGATTCAATTATGTATCAAATCGATATTCGACTAGCATATATGGTAAGATCATATCAACATTTACAACCACAAATCCAATTTCATCATACCATGAAGTCAGAAGATTTTTTTCCAAGAAAGAAAGGAACTATATTTCTTATGTTTTCTCTCTAACAATACATCAAAATATTATGTCACAATCTCAAAATTAGCACACCAAAATCTCTTGGAACTCTAATGCAAAGTGAAGCATCTTCAATTAATGGATTGAAATGAATATTCAAGTGAATGAAGAAACAAAGTTAATATAAGATACCTTTCATTATTTCATACACCATTTGTTTCCCTCATTCCATGGTGCTGCAAATCTTTGTTAAGATAAGATGGTAATGCCATTCCATTATGTGCTTCTAAAGAACTTGAAGAAAATTTTCCCTTCCTTGGCCACAACCAAATCTTCGAAATTGAAAAACTTTCGCCTTTACTAACATTACTAATCTTCTTTCCTTCCAAATCACTTTCCACACACAGATACTCACCATTTTCAATTCCTTTGTTCATCGTTCTATCTTGATGAATTTTACTTTCATGGTTTAATGCATCCAAAGTTACCCTTAACTCTGAATTTCCAACCACATATTGATAAGATCCCATTGAGTAACATCTTCTTGCATCCAATTTACTACTACTCGTTTCACCGACTTCTTCGTTCTCTCGACCCGCTTCCGCGTTCATCTTCTTGAATTTCCCAAGCCGAACGGGTAAAACCCCTTTATCGACATCATCTTCAACAACAATTTCCTTTTGTCTATTACCAAATCTGTTTTCTCCGTTACAAGGACAACCGTCGTCTTCTCTAAGATCATCGAAATCAAACATCGGGTTTTCAATAGAAAATCCATTAGTTTGAAGTGTTCCTCTACAAAGAGGACAAGTTGAATTCGAAAGCAACCAAGTATCTATACAACTTATATGAAAAGCATGGCTACACATAGGTAACAATCTTAGCTTATCTTTCTCGGAAAACTCACACAAACAAACAGCACAATCAAAAGGCTCATTCAAACCAACAATTTCCTTGAATTGAAAAACAGGAAGTGCATCAATGAAAGCTTGATCTAAACCAGAATCATGAAGATGAAAAAGCTGTTGAAGCTGTCTTTGAAGTGCATCAGAAGTTGAAATTTCATTATGGTGTTGTCTATTAGATTGAGCAGAAGATGATGAAGATGGATGCTTTATGAGAAATCTAACAAGTAAATGAAGTAAACCAGATATGAAAAAAAGAACAGCAAGAACAACTATGATGAAAAGAACAGCTGGACTAATCTTAGTACTAGAAGACGAAGAAGATGTTGGTGGTGTTATTGTTGAAGAGCTTGATGAAGATTGTATTGGTGATGATGGTGGTGGTGGAAAATTCATAAAGTATTCATCTTTTTGATGAATTCTCAAATGGGTATGTTCAAATAACAATTTAGGATACATAGTTTCTGACATCAATCTAGTAACAAAACACAACAAAATATTCTCCTCCAACCAAACAAGAACCTAGTCAAATCACATCTATGTTACAAGAACAAAAGTCCTAAAAATCTAAACTTTATACAAATTTCAGACAAGTAAAACAAAGTACAGTACTAGGATGTTTACTTCTAACATATCTATTGGCTTAAAATCACTTCAAATGAAAATAGTGATGCAAGTGGAAAAAAAATGATTTTTTTTTCTTTTTTCTTATTTGGGTTTTTGCGAAAATAACTTGAAGTTAACTCACCTAAGTGGAACACCATTTAAGGTGGTTTTTGAAACTGAAGAGCAATGGTTTTTTTCTTCTTCAAAAGGTTTGAACTTTGAAGAGAGAGAGAGAGAGGTTGGAAAGTGAAGAGTGAAATGTATTGTGTTGGATGTGTGTGATGGATCCAAAATTGTTAGAAGGAAAGAATCCAAAAACTGTGAAAGTAGGAAGGAAGAGGTTCCCAAAGTGAGAGGTAAGGGATGACCAAAAGAAACAAAAACAGTTTCAATCTAATCTCACTCTCTATAGGAGAGTGCTAACCACGCATGTCTTTATTTCTTTTGTATTACTCTTTATTTTTGTATACAAATTAAAAAATATAATGATACTGTCATAAATATTTTTTTTTTATATAAAATAAGTTTTATTAATATATTAAAAATAGTATAAAAAATATTTAAAAAAAATAGAAAAAATAATAATCATTATTATTATTAAAAAATGAAATTAACATTTAAATACTGTCAACAGTAATTCTTAAATTTTATTTTCTATATTTAAATTTATTGCTTAGTTTACTTTTAAATTAAATATCTTTTTAATCTTTATCATTTCAAAATAAAATTTATTTACTAAAATAACAATTATTTTAATACTGAGTGATTACTCTTAAATTTTATTTTCTATATTTAAATTTATTGTTTAGTTTACTTTTAGATTAAATATCTTTTTGATCTCTATCGATTATCAAATTTTGTTTTTAGATTTTATAAAAAATATGATATGTTTTATTTCCTACAAAATTATAATGTACGTAGTTTTAGTCTATGTTGTTAAATTGATTTTATATTTTTGAACGATTATCCTACAGACATGTTTAGAATATTATAAAAAAAAATCGAAAAAAAAATTCAAAATTTGATTTTTAAGTCGAGATTTTCATTATTTTTTCAATATTTTTTGAAATTTAAAATTTTCATATTTAATTCATCTCATTTTAAAAAATTCTAAAATTTGGTAAAGGAACATTTTGTAATATTCTGAACATATATGAAAAAGAATATTCAAAATTTAAAAATTTAAGGATAATAAAATAGTTTTTAAAATTTTAGAAAATAATATAAACTGAAATTGAATAAATAATTTTTTTGTAAAGATCAAAATATATTATTTTTTAATAACGATTAAAAATAAAATTTGAGATATTTATGAAAACTAAAAATATATTTAATTCTTTAATTTTTATAATAAAAAATATTTATATTTTTTATTTAATAAATAATATTCATTTTTATTAATGTAAAATTAAATATATTAAATTTTAAACTTATTCTTCAAATAATTGATTAAATATATCAATAACAAATAATATATAATATAAGTATGTGTTTATAAGTGAGTGTAACGATCATTTTACAAATTAATTTTATTGAATTTAAGTTAGTCATAATCACTTAATATGGTATCAGTTGATTTTGGAATGAAAGAAAACTATTGCATTCTATTTCTTTCTTGCAAATGTACAGGGGTAGAGCCTATTATATAGCTTAGTAACAAAGTATAGCTTACTAACAAACTATAAAAGGCTAAACTAATTTAGTTACTTCTAATCTAAGAATAATTATAATTAGTTATTTACATCATGTAATAGCCCCCACAAACTGGACTATGGATGTTCAATAGGCCAAGTTTAGAAACCAATGAATCAAAGGAGGAAACGGGTAACGGCTTGGTGAGAACATCTGCTAGTTGAGCAGAAGAAGAAACGGGTAAGAGGTGAATGAGACCAGTTTGGATTTTCTCACGAATGACATGGCAGTCAGTTTCAATATGTTTTGTTCGTTCGTGGAAAGTTGGGTTCTGGGCAAGGTAGATAGCACTTTTGTTATCGCAGTAGACTGAACTAGGTTGATCAAATGAGATATGAAGATCCTTGAACAAATACTGCAGCTATTGTAATTGATCCGCTGTCGCGCGCGGGTCAAAAAACGAGTTAAATTGCAAACTGTAGTAACGACGGTAACAGTAACTCGAGTATCGTCTCTCAAGGACTCTTGGGTTTTACTAACTAAAATCGAAATTGGGGGTTGTTTGGTTCGAGTTTAGGCAATTAAGCTAATTATAAAAAGTGATTATCAAATAAGCTGTTTGGAAATAAGTGATTATAGAATAAGTCGATCTACTGATTCAGTTCCTACTATCATCGATTATTATAATTTTAATACCCGAGCGGGTTGTCTATTCCTATTTGGGTACAAACTCAATGACAAGCGCGGTGAAGTTTGTGAGATGTACGATCCTATTGTCCGAATTAAGCAAACGGGATAAGTTTTCATGGATTAAGCAAACATGACTGATCAGACACAACAACGGATTAAGCAAACGTGATGAGTCTATGTTAGGATCATACAATCAACCAAATTGAATCAATATATTTTATGCAATCGAATTAAGCATACAATAACACAAAATATCATTGAAAGGAATTAAACTTAAATTAACATTATAATAATCTCAAGTATTGGAACCTGAATTACAGTAGATCAACCCAAAGGAATTAGTTCTCCATAGTCATTCGTCCAAGCTTTTCAAAAAATCGTCAAATGGAATATTCATGCTACTGTTCACGGCTGCTACCCTAAGGGGAAAGAGAGCGACCCGTTTTACAACCCAACTGGGTCAAACAAACGACCCAGGCCCAAAACTAATTGACCCGAAACTTAACTAAAACTAGTGCTGCAACTTCAACGAATTTTCTGGCCCTTCTACAGTCCGATTCTGACTTCGACTCCAACATAAGAATTGTAGCTCTTTCTCTTAGCTTTTCGTCGATTATTAGAACGCCTCAATCGGACTTCTGAAACTCCAGTTATGATCGTTTCTGTGCAGACTGCTAAAGCTGAAAATTAAATACGAAAATCAAATAACAATAAAAATAAATTAAAATATAAAAACATTATAAAATACAAAAATAAGACAAGCAAACCATGGAAATGTATAAGTACAACCGTAGAGTAATGTGCATCAAAATGCACTGATCAGTAATTCACAAGTTAAGCTAGCCAAAGCCCGATACTCTGCTTCTGAACTGGATCTGGATACCGTGGACTGTTTTATTTATTTCCAGGATAAGAGGGAGGTGCCAAGAAACACACAATAACCAGTCACGGGTCTGCGAGTAGCAGGGCAACATGCCCAATCTGAATCTGTGAAACCAGAAAGTTTGAGGATGGAGGAGGAAGAATAGAACAAACCCTTGACTGGAGCACCTTTGAGATATTTAAGAACACGAATAGTTGCTGAATGATGAACTTGCAGAGGCTGTGATATGAACTGACTGAGTTGTTGAACAATGAAGTCAATGTCAGGCCTGGTGGTAGTCAGATATAGAAGTTGTCCAACAAGCCGTCTATAAGCTGAGACATCCTCATAAGGTGGTGAATCAGTATCATGAAGTTTCAATGAGGAATCAAAGGGAGTTGAACTAGGTTTAGTAGCCAAGAAACCATTGTCCTCAAGTAATTCCAAAGCATACTTTCGTTGGTTAAGAAAAATGCCTTGAGTGGATCTTGCAACTTCCAAACCAAGAAAGTATTTTAGCTTACCAAGGTCCTTGATTTTGAATGTGGAATCAAGGAAACCTTTAACAGAGTGAATTTCCTGCAAATCATTTCCAGCTAAAACAATGTCATCAACGTAGACTAATAATGCAGTAAAATGAGAGTCATGTGATTTTGTAAATAAGGAATGGTCACAGAAGAATGAGAGTAGCCAAGGGAGATAAGGGTCGTGGATAATTTTGAAAACCACTGTCTTCTAGCCTGCTTCAGTCCATAGAGGGACTTATGTAATTTGCAGACTTTGTTGGCAGAAGATACAGAGGACAAGAATCCAGGAGGTAGATCCATATACACTTCTTCATGCAGATCACCATGAAGGAAAGCATTGTTGACGTCGAGTTGTTCTAAGTGCCAACCCTTGATGGCAGCCACTGATAAAAAGGTGAGAATTGTGGTAAGCTTCGCAACAGGTGAAAAAGTGTCAAAGTAATCCACTCCCTCCAGCTGAGTATATCCTTTTGCTACCAAATGGGCCTTGTATCGTTCAATGGATCCATCAGCATGATGTTTGATCTTGTAGACCCATTTGCAACCAATTGGTTGCTTACCTGCAGGCAAATCAACAACAGACAAAGTATTTGTGGATGCAAGAGCATCTAACTCAGATTTTATAGCATTATTCCAACAGTCAGACTTGCAGGCTTGTTTATAGGTTTTGAGTTCTGAGAGAGAGCTAATGGACAAACAGAAGAATTTATGATCTGGACTACATTGGTTATAAGACAAAACAGAAGAGAGAGGATAATTGGAGGTACCTGTGTCAGATGCTGGCAGCATTGAGGATAGCAAATTGCAGTGGTAATCAGAGAGATAGGTTGGAGGCTTGGTATGTCAATTTGATTTTCTGGTTAGTAAATGAGGGTTGGAACAGGGGAAATCAGTAATGTCATTTGAGGGAGAAGAGAATCCGGTAGGAGAAGAATTATTGGATTGGGGGAGAAGGGGGGGGGGGGAGGTTCATTTGGTGGAGTTAAGGGTGGTGGAATGTCGGTGAGGTTATCAGGTGGGTCAAGTAAAAGAGGGTCAGTATTGGCAATTGTAGGATTAGGTGCAGTGGTAGGTGAGGTTGATGCAAAGGGAAACACAGTTTCATAGAAGACTACATGTCTTGAAACATAAAACTCATGTGAGATGGGATCATA